TCTCTCTCTCTCTCTCTCTCTCTCTCTCTCTCTCTCTCTCTCTCTCTCTCTCTCTCTCTCTCTCTCTCTCTCTCTCTCTCTCTTTTAAGAAATAGCATGCTTTAATATATATGGAGGCAAAAGGAGACCGGGAATCCCTCCACATCTTCACCACATAAACGTACAACAAAACAAGAGAGCGTCTGTCATACGATGGCATCGGGAAACAGAGCGGAGCGGAAGATATCCACAAACACAAACGCAGTCGTTCTTGACACAGCTCATCCATAGGCAATGATGCCTGCAACATCTGACAAATGATGCAATGATACTAAAATCACAACAATCTTAGGTTTTCTTCAGGGAAAAGTCCAGAGTTACACTCGAACCACGCAAGTATTTCTTCAGGTAAAAGTACCGGAGATACACCCCACCCTTGAGCCAGGTAGGCGCTCATGGGAGGCACCTGGCCATCTGCATCATCCAGATGCAGAATGCCTGTGTGGATTTCATGCGAGATTTAAAGCGTGGGTGTATCTCGGTACTTTCCCCCTTTCGTTTCATGAGATTTGAGGGCAGAGAATCAGGAAAACCGAACTAACACAGAGCTTCCATTCTATGATGCCATCCAGGGTAACATACGTTTTCTTGAAGGAAAAAAAAAGAAAGGAAAAAAAAAAGTTGGCGTCTGTTTGACCGTTTTGACATGCTTATGCGTTGAGCAGGTGTATGATCTGAAAGGGATGCACAGGGAGGAAGCAACGTTCGTCCAAAACCGACTTATGGTTGCAGCAATAAGGTGAATATTTAACTCCTTAACTGCCAAGCACACAACCCTCGTCTTAGGGCGCCCTTGTCACATGGAGGCCTCCTAAGGAATGAAATTGCTCTAATTTAGCCATGGATGGCAATCATAACTGGCATACGCAGTACTACACACCTGCAACTAGAATCAGATAAGTAACGATTTCTCCCATTGGGTGGAAGGAGGTGGTGGAAGGGGGTGAATACACACACACACACACACACACACACACACACACACACACACACACACACACACACACACACACACAATCAGTTTTATGTCTGTCGGTCCTTTTCCTATTGT